CACTTGACATTAAGTTTTTAAGCTCTCAGAGTAAAAGCCAAGTCGCCTTGTGAAGTAGTGCCAGCACCAAGAATAGAATTTCTTTGCTCACCATGTCTTCCTTTCAGCACCCTCCTATGTGTTTTTTTTTCCATTAACAGAGTTTGCTTTTTATTCAGGAAAAGGCTATATCCACCCTCCATCGTTGAGCATGTGTGTGCATGTTTTCTTTCTCATAACTTCTCCTTGTGAGCTAATGGGCATAATAGTTGCCTTAGTGAGGTCACGCAGAGGCTCAGGCTTTCCAGGCTGTCACAGGCAGGCTTGTGAAGAATACATGTCTGCAGCTGCTTTGGGTGGAAGCATGGATACGCACGCCTAACTCCCTAGCCCACTCCATCCCCTCTCCTCACCCACTCACTGGTTAGCTGACCTAAAGATTTCCCTGCAAATCCATCTGGCAGGCTGGATTTGTTCTGTTCTTGAGGATGGGAAATAAGCTTTAGCTCTACCATGATGTCTTGATCAACAGCAACTGAACCAGGTTCTTTTTTGCATCATCTAAAGAAATGTGCAATTGATAGCCTTCTCACTTCTCTGACATGTAACAGGCTTGGGCTAAAGGGCTGATTAAGATCCAGACCAAGCTGTTACATACAGAAAGAAAATGTCGTAGAGTATTTGTAAAAATAAACACCATCAGCCAAGCCCACCCTGCAACAAATCATGAGCAGTCTCATAAAAGCCCTTTACAGTCCCTGACGGACATGATGTAAGTGTTGAGTGGCCTGAGCAGCCCCTCCTCAGTCCATGCCTGCATGCTCTGGAAACTCCATGTGCACCCAGTCAGGCACACTCCCTCCCTCTAGAGGGTCTGACACTGCAAGGGAAAAGACAGTGCTGCTTTTCAAAGTCTGGCATCAATACTTGCTATGTGTTATTCAAAGCCCACCTGGGCAATGCTGCTACCCTTGTGCGCCATAGAAACATTACAGTCACAAGAGATGCATCAGGTGGAAAATGAGAGGCAGGGTGATACAGTTGTAACTTTCTGGAGGGGAGCCTTAAGCGCATTAGCCACCTCCATTAGAATTACATTTATGTTCCTCTTTACTAGGGTCAGAGGGCTACTTATTATAGGACCTCACTGACTTTGCATGTTGTGGAATATATAAGAAAAAGTAGCAGGTAACTAAGAAGCTTGTACTCTTAAACAAAAACTTCAAAACATCAGAGAAAAAAAGCAGGTACATCTACCATTACAAAGCACAGGAAGCTTGTGCCATTAGTCCTGTACCTGTGTTGTACTGTAAATATATATGAAATTCGACTTCTCAATTTCATCTTACGTATACCTTGGAAGTTTCCTACAGAAACCCTCCCTTCTCCTCCATGTCATAGTCCATAAGTTAAAAGCCAGCATTCTAAAAATAGTTTCTTTCCTGTTTAGGTCATTTGGTTTTCTCTCCATGGTTTCTATAGGGGCTCTCCTGAAAGGGGAATACAGCAGTGCAATTTGATGCTGAAGGTTATGTTCTGTCCTATTATGTCAGCGGCCCTCTTAATATACTCTATCTTACATAAACAAAACAAACTCATGTGAGAGGGAGGATAGTCTCTCACCTTCAGGGTAAAAAAAAAAAAGAAATAATTAAAGATGCATTGTTAAACACACTACCACCATCTGGAAGTAGTTAGCATGGCAAAACAATAAAAAGCCCATCAAAGTTTACAAGGCTAGTTGCCTGCAGTACTTGATTTAGTATCCCCCTTCATTCATTTATTCTGCCCACACACTATGTGACGTAATTTTAAAATCCAAACAGTTTGGAAAGTTCCTGCTGTTGCTTATGTGCTAAAGCCCAAGATGAGGTTATCATGTTCACCTTGCAGCAACAAAAGCCAATTTGCATTCCATAAAGTGTTGTACAGTTTGTAGCTGTGCTTGTAGAAGCTGTAGGACATCAGCTGTAGGAAGGAAAGTACAGACAGCTAAATTTCTAATATTAGCTGGCACAGGGAAAAAATATTTCTAAGCACTTTAAATTTAAATGCATTGGTAAGACTTATTTATTTTAAACCAAGACCAAGAGCTTATCATGGTTTTTATGAATTGCTACTTTGGTCTTCTCCAATTGCTGTTATGAGCATTCAGAGCGCATGCAGCCCAAAGCATGCACCACAGAAACTATGTCTGCTCAGGTCCTAAAGACAAGGAAACTACCCTGTTCCCAGAGCTGTCACTGTGCAGGCATACATTACAGACATTAATGGCGTGTTTCATCATATCATATTTGCACAGCAAGGTTGGTTGCAGTCTCAGATTTTAGCTGCTTTTGTATTTCCCTTTTAGTAACTCCAGCAATATCTGTGGCTCATACCCTGAAGTCATGAAAATCAGAGCTCAAATGTTTTATTTTTTTTTCTATGGGATCCCACTTGTGTACGTTAAAGTCACAGCTCCCCCATTACACCATTTTACAGAATACTCAAAAAAACCCACCTCAATAGTAAAGGCAATTTCAGCCCTTTTTCCACAATATTAAGTGTCCTTTCAGTTCAACTGGTTTTGTATTTCCACACAATGCTTGTTCTTACAAGGGGGTGAGTGCTGTGGACCCCATCTAACAAGTTACTTTAGCAGAGCACGTACATACATAAGTGCTTTGAAGCCAGAACACTGAGCACCTTCCAGGATTTAGTTGGCAGTCTATGGCAGAAGTATCCTCAAAATATTTTCTCTGGTGGATATTACTGATATCCAAGAACACAATTCCATATCCTAATTCAGAAATGAAGATATTTTCATAGACAAGTGGCATCTCTGCCTTCTCTTTTTACTTTGGGGGTATTTTGGAATGAAAATTTACTTACCACAGTATGGTGTCCTTCACTGCAAAAACTAGGTACCCGTCTCTAACCAACAGGTATTTGCTCAAGCAAATATTAGCTCTTCAAAGAGCATTTACATTGGAAGTAGCTGGAGTTATCTCAGTTGCTTTGTGTCAGAGCAAAGCTTTTTTGTTTGCTTCTTTTCTGTTCCTTGTTCTTTACACTTCAAGAGACAATAGGTTGAATCCAAAGCTTTTAATTACAGCAAAGCAGCTCCACAAGCAGAATAACCGATTTATTTGGGGATCTAACTCCTAGTTTATTATTTTAAGACTTTTTGAAAGCCATCTTTGATGATTAATCCTACCTGCTTCAACACCTGGTAGAAGGGCAGGTCTACTACTATTACCCAATGATGAAGGGACTTCTCTCTAGGTTCAGCAGGCCAGTTTAAACAGGCATATAATGATGCTCTTTACCTGCAACTGACCTTTATGTGTAACTTTTTTTGGCTGGATCTGTGACTCAGCCTGTTAGACATCGTAGCCTAATGTCAATAAATGCTGGAGGGATCAACAGTTACACCTCAGCCACTACATTACAAACCAGAGCTGGCTGTTAGACATAAAACTGCTCCAGCCAAGAATCTGTAGTGCTTTTCTATTCATGTACCAAGTATCACAGAAGACAGCAGAGCCAATGAAGCAAAATACTAGCCCAGCTCTTAGAATGGCACAAGAGCTTGAAGGTAGCAAGACTTCCCCTTGCTCCCCCACCCCAAGGTTCCCACAGCTGTTCAACATAGATGTGTGGTGCTCCTGCCAAACAGGTGTCCGTGCCTCCCTGAGGGCTGGTAACAAATGACTACTTCAGTTCAATTTGTGCAATGGAAACTGTTTCCATTACAAGCATAAGTGAAATCTATCCAAGCAACTGATTCTGGGATCCCAAAGCACACATTTTCACAACCTATACTGACATAGCCTTAGCCTTTCCATTAAGTTGGTCAGGTCAATGATTTCTTTGTTCCTCAGCTCATGAAACACAGGTTGGCAAACACCACCTTCACTAAGGCAGGTACTGCTCTAAAGCCCTGGTTTAGCAGGTTGGATCCTGGTCTACTCAGAGCCTTAAATTCAAGAGATTATTACTGAAAGAGAACCACCACAAAAAGCTTACACACACATTCCTTCCTTATGCATAATTTAAATACTGTCAACACTTCCTTGCAGCCTAGTAATTCCTACATTAATCATTCTGCAAATCAGTTTGGTACTGAACAGAAAAATTGCATCATGTTGTAACAATTTGACCAATTCTAAGCTAAGGCTGCCAGAGGTTGATTAATTAACTGCACACTGTGACAGATTTTTACATGACCTGGTGTTTTAAGTTGATCATGCATGATCAGGGCATTTCAACTTTCCATTACATCCATCACATATGAAAGGACCAGGAAAGATAGCTTGAGCTATATTTCAGACTTGACTCATGTCAAGGGTTCTTTAATACATGTTTAGGAACAAAACCTGTATGTTAAGATGAATCAGCATCTCACTACATGACAGGCTTGACATTTTCTGGACACTGGTATACCTCAGTCACAAGATACACGACATAACTCCATCCGTCCTTGAAAGAAGGGTCACTGAAATCCCTTGGGAGAACAACAGGTAGGTGTCTGAGGGGATGGATACAACAGTATCTACAGCAACCAGACTAACAGAATTCAGTAGTAAGAACTAACTTGAGTCTTAAAAACTTGATTAAGCTACAGTTCAAATCATACTATCTGCATTTAGGTTATACTGACTAGCAGTTTTGCTTATTTAAACAAGTACTTATCTATATCACAGATACTCAGCGTTTTCTGTAACGGCTGATAGTAGTTTTTTTCTCACGTGTTAAGCTCATCACTGCAAGTGAAGCCTACTCTGGCACTAGTATAGTACTAATTTTGCACCTTGAATGTTCAGCTTAATGAACCATTTATAGGTATATTTTTCTCCCTTATGTGACCCAACATAAGCTTTGTTATTCCATTCAAGAATTCAGAGTAGCTGTGCAAGCAATGTTTCATTTAAGAAGCACTGAGCTCAGATTCCCAGAACTATTCTAGGACTTCCTCCTACAGACTTCTACTCTTTTAGAAGAGTTTTTCCCCCAATTAAAACTAACATTCAACTCAATACTTAAAAGCTTCTTTATTTTGCTGTTAGACTTGGGCTTTAAGGACACCTTAAAAATCAGTTACATGAAGATTAATATCGCAAAAAATATGGGGGTGCCATTCCAGAAACACCCATATCATCTTCAAATATAAATATATATCCAAATTATCATCTAGGAAAAAGTGTGCCACCATTCCTGCCTTTAGCTGGTCCTGCCAGCTTTTGGGTCATAACTCCTCATTGCAGAACTCCTATTGGAAGGAGCATCTCCAAGGTTCATGTCACAGGCATTATTCATAGCAAACTGCTTCAATGCAGCACATGGTCCCAACCTTAAGTTTTTTGAAAACGTTCCATAGTTCTCCCTTGAGCAGTGGGTAAAAAGCATCCAAACATCTCCTGGGACGCATAAGTCATATACACAAAGCCATCTTCATCTTTGTAGTCTCTGTACACTTCTGCCATTGTCAAGGACATACTGGCTAGGCTTTTGTTGTTCACCAGCAGGTAGAAAGCTTGTGTAGCTGTTAAAGCCATCCTGCTTCTAATTGAAGGGAAGAGAAATAGAGGATTAACTATTAACAGATTTAATAAGGTTTCAATTTCAGTCATGAAATATATTGGTCAGAGCAGTTGCACGAACTACATACAAAAAATAGCATGTAAAGTCATAGTGTGGTTTAGTGTCTTCATCAGCAGGAAGTTAACTGTATGTTTGGAAGCTGAAAGGCTTGTGCTTTGAGGAAAGCCTTACATTGTTAGACCATGAGTGCTATTGAGCCTGGGCTTTGAGCTCCCAATTACCAGGGAAAAGTGCTGAGCAGAAACCAAGAACTTCTGCAGCACAACTAAAGTAAAGGATTTGAGCATGGTCTGTTACACTTATTATGAAGTCTACCTTCAAAAGAAGGGTCCTTTCCAGAGACATTACATAGCAGGATCAGGACCTAAGTTGTCCAAGAGCCAAAAGCACATTTTACACTACTTATCATCTACAAAGATATTTTCTGTACTTTAAAAAGTGTGTTGGCAAGCACATAGCTTTCGTACTTTGTCAGAGAACATCCCTTAACACTTCGTGAGGCTTCTTCTCTGTAGTGTTTTACTAAGAATAATTTAAAAGCACATTTCATGCCACTCACACCTAGGAGCTGCTTTGAACTTAAGCAAGTTTAGCATAGTGCAGAACAAGAGCAAGGCAGCAACAGCTGCGAGCAGAAGTGAACCACAGAGTCCCTGTGCCAAGCTCATCAGGCAGGAACAAAGCAGAGAAGGAGTCCAATGTAGTCTTTACTCACTACAGTTAGGGGGAAGACAGAAGACTTTATGAATCCAGAAAAGCACCTTTTCCCCAAAGGCACTTGTGAAAGCATCTGTTGATTTTCTTTAAACACTTGCAAGAGAGGGAAGCAATTGCCAACACCTTGATCCTCCTCACCAGCCAAGAAAGCAAGATGCTCCAGCACAGCACTAAACACACCTGCTCAGAGAACAGCAGCAAGCCTTAACTGCAGAAACAGCCCCACAGGCACTCACCACCTACCTTATGATGGTTATGAACTGTGTCATGGTCAGCTCCTCGGGAACAAGAAACTTGGTTTTGTCCAAGAGGGGAAGGTATTTCTCTTTATGGTATCTCTCAACTATTACCTGTGTTAATCAGAGTCATACTTAGAAAACCCCAGACCATTCAGGTCCTTCCCCCGCAACACGTAATAGAACGGTTCCCAGCGGTTATCTCTAACTAGCAGATTGACCTCAGAAAATAAAACAGATTTACCGGGATTTTTGTTGGGAACTTCGCCCGGATTCCTGCTACTTCTTCCAGCCGGGTGGCTGCGCGGGAGAGAGGAGAACGTTACGCGTGCACGCATCCCCCACCTCCGCCAGACCCCCACCGTGCGCCCGCCACCCCTACCGAAACTCTTCCTCAGCTTGAACGGCCGGACCGGCTGCGCCCCGGGCACCGCCTGCATCCTTCCTCCCACCGCGGTGCTCCGGTGAACACTACTGTTGCCACCCCAGGGCCGCGCTTCTTATGGGGCCGGCGCAAGGCCCCGCCCCGCCGCGCCGGGTGAGGCGGAATGAGCTGCCCGTCTCGGCACTGGGTCTTGTCTCAATACGCGTTTTCCCCTCCCCAGCGCGCCAACGGGGGGCAAAGGGAAGGGGAAATGTGCGGCTGGTGAGCCTGCTCTAGTCCCTCCCAGCGGCATCCTTTCTATTCCTAAATTACCTAAGGTGCGAGAGATTTTACAGGCAAGGCAGTAAAATACTCTGTGAGAGGTGAGAGGAGCTACCCTATGGGGTAGTTGAAGGATGCAGCTTAAGGCTGGAATGCCTCCATCTGTCTTCCCTTTCCAGATGGCTAGTCCTAAAGGTTAGTTACCTTCTTCGTATTTACAAACTGCCTCCAAACTACTTCTTTGGTTTTAGGGGAAAAACCAAACAAACAAGGAGACAAAACCAAACCCATTTGTCATATCCTCAGGCTACCAGATTGCTTATCTTCTGACTGACTTGGGAGGTGCGTTTTAATACAATTTTTGTCTCCAAGGCATAGTTGTGATTTTAAGGGTTTCCAAGCAGACTTCAGGTCCATCTGTTTGCCAAATATGATGAGACATTCCCTGCCTTTTTGGCTCCTTGACCTGCTTTTACTTCAGCTGTCAAGATGGCTTTGCAGACAAACAAAATCAGCAAGGAATACAGTTAACCTAGGACTGGTTGTTGTTTGTGTAAGTCATCTCAGTGGATGCTAGAACTGATCCCCAACACTCATTTGCTTTGCTTATCCCTTTAAAATTACAGTCATTTTCATTTTATTTGATCTACCAGGCTAAGGGCAACTAGAAATTGCTATCATTTATGAGTTACTATTTATGAGTTATAGGGTTGGCTGCTTTGTCAAAGCAAAATCAATGAATGTCACCTAAGATCATTTTGAAAAGGAAGATCTTCATTAAAGTGTTTGTGCAGTACATATGCATATGTCATGATTTTAGAACAACCTTTCCAGAACAGTTTCCAGTGACTGAAGTTAGCTCTACTGAGCTGTCGTTTCCTCTTGGTCTGAAAGTAATGAGCTTTAGTGACAGCACAAGCTCCCCCATGTGGTACTGCTGTAATGGAAGGACCAAAGGGAATTGTTCTGTTTTTACCTGCTTGAGGTCCAAAGACTACACTCATAGGAGTCCTGTAAGTCCCTGAACATGAAAGTACAAATTTGCAGTTTCATACCTTATCTAGTCCAATTTCATTGCTACATACATAGCCTCTTCCCGAGTCCCAGGTTTGCAGCTGTGTAACTGAATTTTGGTATATCCATTTTCTCTATTCTAAAGTGATCCCAGCTTCATGGACCTAACCATATAGAGGCTGGCTCAGAAGAACTTGTCAGTTTTCACTGCTTACCCTGCTCTGAAGAACTTGAAATCTGAAATCTTGAAATCTGAATGTCCCAGGTGAGATAAAATGAGGTAGAAATAATCATGGCAACTGCAAAAACCCAAGATGCAAAGAACGCATGCAACATTGAGAACACCATTTCGGGAGGAGGACTGTGGTACAAATGTTAACTGGTTCCACATTTCTGGGGTACAAACACAGGACCACCCTGCCTCCTACAGAATCAAAAGCAAACAGAAAAAGGCAGATAAATAAACGTCAGTATTTTACATGTGATTGTATTTGAAAACTAGAGAATGCCTGACCAGCTGTCTGCTGCATGCTAAAATCACACTTCCAAAGCTTTACAGTAACTGCTGCAAGAAGAAAAATGATATATAAAGTACACAGTGCTTAAGCAGAGAGGTACATCTTGCTTCAAAAAAGGTCTAGCCTTGACATACCACAAAGACAGGATAACACCATAATGTTAATCTGCCTCGTGTGACTACTTGCCAATTAGTGGATCTGTAACTTAGTATTTCCTTAAAGAGAAATGCTAAACATTGCTTTGACTGGTGAATTATTCTTCTTGAGTTTTGTGAATTCTCCTCTGTTCTTTCCTGTTCTGAAGCAAAAGGTTTGAATTACATTACTGCAGCATGTATGAAAGTTTGAATGATGTTGTCTGTGATCTGCTATGGCTTGGGTTGGGTATAATCAGTTCTGTAAAAACAACAGCAAAAAGGTGTAAAAGATGATGAAGGTTTTGCATCATTGTATTGGAGTCTCTTCCTCCCCTCTGCCACAGTTTTTAAACACTCAGATGTGTCACAGAGGCATGACATATCCCAAAGAAAGTATCTACTTTTCTCCAAGTGTTGTGTGATGAACAGCACTCCTTTCGGGTGGATGTGTGAGCTGTTGTGGAGCTGAGGATCAAGAGCTGCATGAATGAACCAGAGAACCGAGGTGCTCTGATCAGACTACTCAAGCAGTATGTGTGCCTGCTATGAGGCTCTAGCCAAGATTTTGCCTCTTGTAGAAACCTTACAGTTAAAATCTGGTAATTTCACTGCATTCTGCCTTCAGAAGCCTCCTGGTGCTCTCTGGTACTCCTGTACCCTCATGGTTTAAAGTGCTGTAAGGTTTAATGAATAGGAGTGATCAAGGGGCTCTGACTCTGCTTAGGAAACTTAGACCATAGTAGTTTAAAACTAACCACCTGGCTGCCTGCCTCTCCTCATAGCTGGAGGCTGCCTCTCCAGCCAGTGCAGCTTGTGTCTGCAGCTTGAGAGCTGATCCGGGCTTGGTTAATAAGGAGTACAGTGGCCAAGGGCAGGCGAGGCACCAGTGCCTGTCCACTCCTACCAACAGGGCAGTAGCATCCAGCACATTGGTAGGCTGGGGTCAGCGGCATTTTAAATTCCCAAAGCTTTATCTGCCAGAGCTCAGGAGGAGGCAGGGCTCCCAGACTGAAGATGTTAGTCTGTTCTGCCAAGCTAGCTGAACAGCGCAGTGCCTAATGAAGGCAAGCCCAGGGGTCAGACTTAGACAAGAAAAAAAAAAAATATATAGATGTAAATGTAAAAATGTGGACAGCATTAGAAGTGATTCGCGTTCCAGTGGAAGAAATTTGCTTCACTCTTACATGGTTAAAAGAACTCTAGTATGCCATAAACTGAGATTACTTTTCCTTCATAAGTCAGTATGCAGGTGCTACTGAGTTTATTCCAGTGTAGCAAAACTTGGATGACAAACGGGGCTTCGCTCTGGCTATAAATTCCATCCAACATTTAGTAATCCTGAACACAAGTGTATAGGTAAGCAAGAGAGGATGAGGCTCTAAGTGCAGAAGGCACAAACCAGTTAAAATAACGGTTTAAATATGAATGATACAGTGCTAAAGGAACTGAGATTTATTTATTTAAGCAGCCTATCTGAATAGGAAGAGAAGCTGAAGCATGATGTTCTAGGGAAAAAATGTGACTTGGCAAAATGAAGGCTTATTTGTTGCACTGAGGAAGTGTATGAAGTTCTACAGTATTACGCAGTTATCTTAAATACATGCTTTCGTGCAGGTTGTCTGTAAGTGCAAATAAAATAGTCAAGAGGGGTTTGAAAAGCCCTCAAGCAGTCAGACTCAGCCAGATAATTTAATGGGTTTTAAAAGAGCCATGCTGAATATTTTCATGCTCCTGAACTTGGCTAGTTACAATAAGGAATCCTTTCCCTTCTTCCCTTCTGAAACTCTAAACCTGTCTGTTTCTTTTCCTGTGACACAGAAGCAGACCTACACTTGTGGGTAAGCCTGAAGTAATTGTGTGCCAGTAACTAACTCTCTGAATTCATAAGTCTTTATGCAAAAAAGCTAGCCTGAGTATTCTTATGTTTTAGGGAATGCTTAGTCCTGATTCTCAGATTTATGGTCTGAACTCATCTGCTAATAAGACTCAGATCACAAATTGAGCCTCTCCCAGAATGTTGAGATAAGTTTGAAATTCCCCAGGGGTATTTCTGGGTTGATTGACTGCATTTATATGTACTTCTGGTTCTTTTCCCTTGTCTTCTGATTTTTTAACCCTAATATCAAACCTAGATTATATCTCATGGCTTTTTTAGCATAGGCACAAGGATTAGAAATGAGTTCTGCTACTTTTAAATGAGAGGCTACACGACTGTTTTGCACCAGAGCTTGGGATTCTGAGCTTGAAATGTCTCTTCTGCAAAAGAAACTTCAGTTAGATTAATTTCATCCCTTCTCCCTTAGCTTTAACTGTCCTACTGGTGTTCATCTCATAGGGATGGGGTCATTTTCTTATGCTAGTTTTTTGGTTTCAAGTGCTCTAATCGTGCTTTTCTTGAGAGCTCTGTCTTCCATTTAAAGACTTTGAGACCTCTCTCAACATTACTTCATTAAATTTTCAACAATATTGAGAGTGCTGAGGTACAGTGAGGTATTCTCAGTAATTTAAAAATTTTTCCACATGCTAAGTGCTTCTGTTCTAAGCATTTGAAATAGAGAAGAATTTGAGACCTAGGTTCTCAGTAAATTCTGCAAGTGTTGCTCAAATTGGAGGTTCTAACTACATGTAAAAAGAAAATAAATAAATCAGTGACTCTTTGATGAAAGCAGACATAAGCTGGCAACCTGTTCATCAGTGTTCCTGCAAGTACATATTTGGTTTTCTGTTTCCTGCTGTACCAATGTTTCACCAGCTTTTTGTCCATACAGGAGCTGAGCTCAAGTCATAGAAAGATGCTAACAAGGGAAAAACATCACTTGCTCTCTAGTTACCATTGCTAAGACGCAACGTATTATGTTTTCTACCTACAGAAGAAACATAACTGATGCTGTTCTTCCAAGCCAATTTCCTTCCATATCTCCTTGAGAAACTGAAGAAGTGTTCTTCTGGGTGGAGAAAAACTTAGTTTTTCCTTGAGGTATAGAATCATAGAGTCATTACAGAGTAGTTAGGGCTGAGAAAGACCTTAAAGATCACCCAGTTCCAATCTGCTTGCCATGGGCAGGGACACCTTCCACTAGACCAGGTTGCTCAAAGCACCACCCAACCTGGCCTTGAACACTGCCGGGAAAGGGGCAGCCACAGCTTCTCTAGGCAACCTGTGCCAGTGCCTCAATGGATTTCCCTTTGTAAAATATCATAACCTTCTG